TGAGGCCGTATAGGTCATCATTGACAGATTGACCAAGACAGCTCACTTTTTGCCTATTAAGGCAACAGATGATGCAGAGAAGCTTGGTGTTCTTTATGTGAAGGAGATTGTAAGGTTACACGGAGTTCCTGTAACCATTGTGTCAGATAGGGATGCCAAGTTCACTTCGAAGTTCTGGGAAGGACTTCAAGCAGCGTTTGGTTCAGCGTTGCATCTTAGTACGGCATTCTATCCACAGACAGACAGTCAGTCGGAGCGTACTATCCAGATTTTGGAGGATATGCTTCGGGCATGTGTACTTGATTTAAGAGGTAGTTGGTAGGATCACCTTCCACTTATTGAGTTTGCCTACAACAACAGTTATCAGGCGAGTATCCAGATGGCTCCATTTGAGGCGTTGTATGGTAGACCTTGTAGGTTTCCTGTTTGTTGGACTGAGGTAGGTGAGACAGCCGCCTTAGGACCCGACATTGTACTCGAGACTACTGAGAAGATTAAGTTGATAAGACAGAGGTTACTTACATCTTAGAGCCGACAGAAGAGCTATGCGGATAAGCGGAGACGATCGTTATCCTTTGAGGTGGGCCACCACGTTTTTCTACGGGTTTCTCCATGGAAGGGATTGATGAGATTTGGGAAGAGTGGCAAGTTATCGCCACGATTTATTGGACCATTCGAGATTTTGGATCGGGTAGGAGAGGTTGCCTACAGACTTGCTTTACCACCACAGATGGACAGAGTTCACAATGTCTTTCATGTATCGATGTTACGAAAGTACGAGCCGGATCCATCTCACATTTTGAGTTGGGTTGATGTGGATATTGATGAGGATGTTTCCTACGAAGAAAGACCAGTTCAGATCCTTGACACTCAGCAGAGGGTGTTGAGGAACAAGACGATACCAATGGTGAAAGTCCTTTGGAGACACCACGGAGTCGAGGAGGCTACTTGGGAGCTTGAACAGGAGGTTCGGTCCAAGTACCCAGCGTTGTTTTCTTCCTCAGGTATGTCTTGATTTCGAGGACGAAATCTTTTTAAAGTTGGGGAGAATGTGATGTCTGTGTAAGTATATGTGTATTGTGTGATGTATATTGAGTAAAAGAAAAAGAGAAAACAAATTAAAATTTTGGTGGGACCCACCACCACACCCAAAAAGGGTTTGAGACCACAATTGGTCTCCATTTTTCTTCTCTCCCGCTGGCCCCTCCTTCTGTCTCTATTTCTTGATTGTTCTTTTTCTTTTTGAACTCAAACTTCATTCTTAGATTACTCCTCCACCTTTTGTCGGATTGAGGTGCCGTTTGAGGCAAAACGAAGCTCGTGTCAAGCTCTACACATCCATACAAGCAATTTTAGATTTTGTACCCCTTTGGATTTCGAATCTTGAGACCCATTTTCTAGGGTTTTGGTGCAATCTTGAGGTAGGGGCATCTTAATCCACTCTCTTCTTGTTCCATTGTGAGTTATGCTCTTTTGTTATGCTAGACATGCTAAATTTGAGAATTTATTTGCTTCAATGAGGTGTAAGTGATGTTTAAAAAAAATTCATGTCTTAGGGTTATGATTTGTCTATGTGAAAAACATGTATAGATGATGGCTTTGTGGTGTTTTTTGTGAATTATACCTCTTTTATGTGCTAACATGCTTTACTTGGGGATTAATTGTGTTAATGATTATTTTAATGTTGTCTAGAGAAATGTATGTTTATGCACATGTGATATATTATGTGAAAAGCTTGCCTATATGTTGAGTTTATGTCTACTATGTGTAAACTTGCTGAAAGTGATGTATGAGACCATGCTTAATTGTATTGTGCCAAAATTTCACATTGTTATGATATTGAGATTATATGTACATTCTTGGACATGTCATTGGGATGCATAAAATGAGAGAATTTGTCTTGAAATGAAAATAAGGAATTTTTGGGAGATGATAGTTTTTGTGAAATGGTTTTGATAAACCCGGTCGCTGCGGGGTTACCAACGGGCCGGAGATTAATATAGCTTAGAGGGGACTAGGGAGTCGCCCTAGTGTGGTTGAGCTAGCTGGGCTCCATAATGACGCCGCGGGATTACCAAGGGTGAGGGACACTAGCCAATCCTCCTCTCGTGTCGCGGCGGGGTTACCAAAGGGCGAGCTGTATTAACGTTTGAAAGTGATAGTTTTGAGAATGAAAATGGGGAGTGTCATTGACATGCATTGTATTTCATTGCATTGCATTGCATTGCATTGTTTATAATTAGAATTGAATTGTATGTTGTATTTGATCTCCTACGTTGTATGATCCCTATCTTCTATTGGCCTATGCTTTGCTTGAATTCACAAGGACACAAGATTTGTGTCTTAAGTGTCACCTACTGAGCATATAGCTCACCCTACTATTTATACATTTTTTTCAGGTCTTGGAAAAGAACCGGTGAACGACAACCCACCTCAAGCTTGAGCGATACTAGAAGCTCACTTCTGTGTCTTTTGTATATCTCCCATTATTTTTGCAAAGTACTAAAAGAGTGAAGGTGTCTATGTATATTTTGCAAAACTTTGTCATGTATTGTAATTAAGGCATTTGATGATATTTTGGATGTGAATTTGATAACATGTAAACCTTATTGATGAATGGGGAGAGTAATACTAGTTTGAAGTATTATTGAGGTTATTTGATTGTGTATTATCATCTACTATTGCCGTGAATTCGGAATTTGAGCCATGATAGGTTAAAAATGAATTTAAATAGGTTGTGATAGGCCTACTTTTAGTGGAGGTCATGCCGATTTTTTTTTGGTTTAAAAAGTATTAGTTTTGAGTCGTTACATCATGTTACTGGTGCCGTTGCATATGTCAAGGCTGCCCAGCCAGACTGGTCTCCTGCTGCCATTAAATTTGCCCTCATGACAACAGGTCAGAAATAAGAGTCGCTACTTCTGTTGATATCGGTACTGTTACTGGAAATGTTTATATGGAAACTATCAAATCCTGTTAATCAAAATCCAAGCAATAACCTTTTCTATTGATATCTAGAGCGACAAATTAAGAATACATTGTTCTTGACTGGTTTTCGCAACCGTCATATGTACAATGCTGCCATCAGATGAGGGAACATGTGGACCCTCATGCTAGTCTTGCCATCACTAGCACACATCTCCATTGACACTCCACTTGCGGAAGATAATCCCCTTCATTATAAGAACAAAACCAGCACACAGAAACTCTCATCTTTTACATCATATTAGTGATACTAGAACTGACTGTAATTGATTTGACTTATCTTTTTCTTTATTATCCGCTTATGTCATGGATCCGAGGAAGCACGCAGACCTTGAATTTGCTTATGGATCTGGTCACATAAACCCGGTTGCTGCAGTTGACCCTGGGCTAGTCTTTGATGCATCTGAAGCAGATTACGTTAACTTCCTCTGCAAGAAGGGCTACAACATAACCCTACTACGACTAGTCACGGGAGATGAGAGCAATTGTGATGGCATAGAGCTTGGAAGAGGATGGGATCTCAACTATCCATCATTCTCGCTCCACGTGGAAGATGGCCAGCAGATCATGGGTGTCTTTACCAGGACAGTGACCAATGTTGGCGCACCAAACTCTACTTATACAGCTAGCATGTACATACCTGCTACCATTAGTGTTACGGTGGAACCTTCCGTCCTGACGTTCTCTGCAGTTGGATAGAAGAAATCATTCAAAGTGAAGGTCAATGGGCCAACAATTGCACAGCAGCCAATCATGTCCGGTGCTATCACGTGGAAAGATGGAGTCCATGTGGTGAGAACTGCCCTTGTGGTTTTTACCGCTGCTCCCTATAATCTTGACAGCCACTCCATGCTTGAGAAGAAGTCATCTTTTGAAGGTTCTTCAGTAAATCACAAGAATGGGATCCTTGGGCACACGTAAACATCCAAGACTCACACACAACATATCAACCTTTTACTGCTTCTATTGCGTTAAAATTTCAAGGTCTTTAATGTATTTAACATAGCAATGTGACTAGGAATGGACCAAGTCACAACCGAGAAAAATGCAAGGGCGAGAAAGATGGCGTGTCAAGGTTACTGTCTCTTTGAGATCTTTTTTAAAATAATAAAACTGAATAATACCGCTCCCTCCTAAATTCCTATCGGAGGCAGGTGCTCTCTCATGCATGAAATTGTGTATGCGTGTGTCACCTCTTTCATGCATGAAATGAGCTTTACCTTATAAAACTCTATAAGTCATGGAGATAGCATGAAGACCTTGAATTCATTTGCATTTCTGCTCACACAAATCAGGTTGCCGCATTTGATCCTGGGCTAGTCTTTGATGCATTAGAGGCTAATCACATTGACATCCTCTATGTGCAGGGCTGTAACACATTCAAACTAAGACTCCTAGTGTCGCAGTGAAGCTTAACAAATAATATCCTATTATAGCATGAGGACTTTGTATAGCTAAATCAGGAGTTTCTACTCTGGCCGCATGGAATACACCTTTGCATACTTCATAAGGTCCCATATGTAACAAACTGTTCGCTGTCTAAGTCTACTAGCTCTATGATCAGCTAACCATCTGTGTCGGTCCTTGGGCCAACAGCAAACTCTTCAGGCTCTAATTTAAAAAGCATGCGGTTTACAATATAGCTGTTGAACAGCAATTATACATATTGCACTTCGGCAAATTAATTCTTCAAGAGACAAGGCCTACAGTCTAATTCTACGACTAAATTAGATTAACTGATTTCTAGTCAAACATTTCATCCTAGTCATTACATTGGCTCAAAAATATGTTCATTAATCACATGTACAGTTCATTGGTTCGACCATTCGAACCTGTGGCAATTGCAACAAAATAATTCCAAACAGACCAACTCATTAAGGGAAAACCGTAGATTCAAATTAATTTATTCATAAACAAGTTAATATGAACACAACAAACAAATACAGCAATATCACAATCATGCACGTTACCTGGAAAGAACGTACCCACGTGTAACTAGAATTAAGATTAAGAAATAGAAGCTCATTAAACAAAAATTCCATTAGAGACGGACAACATTTTTGGACTACATAGGATATTCAAATTATTTATTTGTAATCAAGTCAATATGAATACAACATTCAAATACAACAATATTGCAATCATGCATGTCATGTGGGAGGAACCAATATAGCAAAAATATCGCATCTACCCACATGAACTATAATGAAAATTAAGAAATAGCAGCTCATTTTAAAAATAAAAAAAAAAAAGAAGAAGAAAAAGAAAACAAAAAAAGAAAAATCAAACCTTTAAAGTTTCAAGCTACCGGGGTCTTCCAATTTGGCTTGAATACATATTATACCCAGTTTCAAGCTACAGGGGTCTTCCGATTTGGCTTGAATACATACTGTATGAGGGACTCCTTAATGGATAAGAGCTCGGGAAATTCCCGCTTCAGTTTGGTGGCATCAAGTTCATTGTTGCTCCTTGGAGCAATGATGACCTTTGCCTGCTCCTCAAGAGTAAAGTTCTTCCATGTGAAGTTGGGATCAATATAATCCCGGTACATCTCTAAAATCTCATTGTGGCTGACCACCCCAGGATTTGTGAAGTTCCATATCCCAGTGAGATTTCTCTTTGCCATCTCAATGGAAATGGGGAGGAGTTCATCCAATATAGTCATAGAGTTTGGTATGTCCACTACCTTCTCATATCGAGTTATCTTTGTGATGAAGTTACGGGGGTTGGATAAATCAGATGAGATTGGCATCCTGACACGCAATGTGCAGACATTTTCATAATTTTTGAGCAAATCTTCCACCTTTCAAAGATCAGTAAAAGGAACCGTCAGAACTATCAAGTACCATGAACAAAGAAAACAGTAACAGCAGCAACTGCAACAATATTCAATAGAAAACTCCAACTTTCAAGTGTTCCATCAGATTCTTTAACTTACAAGCACTGATATCAATAAAGAGAAAATACCATCAGAATTAACAACAAAGTGACTTCCACCTTTAATGTCCAAAAAATACATTCTTTATCCTACGGGCATTGAAATAGTTAGGCATCTTATTGCATATCAGCATATCATTAATTTCGAGTCGACAAGATATGGCAATGTTTTTCTTTTTCTTTTTTCAGAGACAAAGGTATTTGTCAGATGGCAATCTCATAGAATGAACTGAGATGATTACATATTTAGTACCATTTTTTTCATTCTATCCATCATGTACTGGATAAACAAACATTGCGAAAAGAGTAAACCCTGACCCCACCGCCTCACTTTTAGATACCATAACAGCTACCACAATGCTACAAAGACCTTGGTGATGTTGTGGATAAACATGACTCAGCTGCTACGCACTTGTCCCAGAAGACAACTCACCATTTTGATGCAAAGGCAGAAAGCATATTCATTTAGGAAAAAGAAATAATTTTTCACAGGAGTCCAACATTTAATTTATCTAAAAGTTAAACACTCCAAGGTTAAATCACAAACTTGAAAAAGTTTCCTAATTTGTTCCAAAACTAAGCATATAGGTGCTGATTTGGTCATAGGTTTACAGCCATGGTTCCAACAGTGTCTCCCTAACTCTCATAGATACTACGGTTACTACCTAGTCACTGGAATATCAAATTTTATTGTGTACCCAGATAGATATACAAGAGATAGATAAGAAGTAATTTGTTATGTACTCTAACGTCAACTCATTTTTTTGAACAATTAATAATCAAACAACCTTGCAAAGGAAAGTACAAAAAATTAATGAATATCCCCAGTTAAGGAAAGTTGTAGAGCCATAAACCTCTGAATAAATGAAGTCAAGGCAATTAGCTTAGTTAAGATGAGATAGTAGCCTGCTCAAAATTCTCACACTAAATAAGAAGCTTCAAAATAAAATTAAGCTCAGCCTGTATCCAAGTATCAATTCCAGCTACAAATGGCAATTTAACCCATTTAGAAAGGTACCTGCTCCTATTGAGATGGGTTTGGGTAATATTTAATTCGGATGGGAGCTGTTTCGCAGAGCCAAAAATCCATCTATCCAAACCCATCCATATTAGTCAAAATATTCAATAATTAATGAATCATCCTATTATTAGAATTCTTATCTTTTCATTCTTTTCGCATGGTCATTTAGATTTCGAATTAGAAAATTAACAGCTTCATGCATATAATTATTAAAAATCTGTTAATACTTAGATTTTTCAACAAAAAAAAAATCCCAAAATTTGTAGGATTAATTTGTTTTTTTTTATTTTTTTATTTTTCAAAAATGCGTAACGGTACAATCCATATCCACCCAACCAAGAGTAGTTGAGACGGGTTTGGGAAGGAGTTTTCCTTCATCAGCACAATTTCATACACATGAATCAAGATCACAGATCCAACACACACCACACCCAAAGCAGTTAAAACCAAAGCACAACACATCTAAACTCCGGAACTCTGCATTAACAAGAACAAGAAGCAAAAAACATAGATCTTTATTAACAATTAAACATCATAAATCATTCAAAATTGACCTCTAATGAGAATTAAGTATCAAAGCAGTTAAAACCAATCATAAAACATCTAAAATTCTGTACTCTGCATTAACAAGAACAACAAGCATTAACATAGATCTTTATTAAGCATTAAACATCATAATCATTCAAATGACCTCTAATGAGAATTATACATCAAAGCAGTTAAGACCAAATCATAACACATCTAAAATCCCGCCCGTACTCTGCATTAACAAATAAACATAGATCTTTATTAAGCATTAAACATCATAAATCATTGAAAATTGACAAAGCAGTTAAAACCAAATCATAACAATCCCGTACTCTGCATTAACACGAACAAGAAGCATAAACATAGATCTTTATTAAGAATTAAACATCATAATAAATGACTTAAAATTGATCCCTAATGAGAATTAAACATCCAACATTTACGATAATCTGAGATAGAGTGACTCACCATGGCCTTGGTCTTGGAATAGAAAGATCCGATGAAATTGGGTGTGTCCTCCTCCTTGAACCCGACGCCCGAACCGAGGAGATGATCCGAATCATACTCGAATATACAGCCAGTGGCATAGTTGATCAAGATCAAGCTTTTGTCTCTGCACACATCGGCTAGGGTTAGCGTTCCGGCCACATTGGTCCGTATGGTCTCGACCTTATGCGATTCGCACCAGTCGACGTTGGGACGGCCGGTGACCCCGGCGGCGTTGAAGACGTGGCTGGGCTTGACGGCGGCGAGGTCAGCTTCGAGTGAGGCGCGATTCTCGAGCCGGCCAGAGCCATAAGCGTAGTCGATGCCTTGGGATTCGCAGAGCTTGCCGAGATTGCCACCGATCCAGCCGGTCCGGCCGTAGATCAGGAACTTGAGAGGCTTGTCTGACTTTGCTGGGAAACCCATAGTAATCGAGAGAGAAAGCAGAGAGAGACTAACTGGTAGTGACTTTAGTGAGTGAGCAAGAAAGATTGGATCTGAATATGTTATATATGTACACAGAGAGAGGGGGAGAGAGTGTGTGTGAGAGAGCTTTTCCTGGTATGTGGGGAGGATGTAAGTTGGTTTAGGTGCTAGCGACAGTGATGTGTCGGTAATATATCAGCACAGATTTTAAATGAATGATAAGAAATGGCCACCATATATACACACCTTTCTTTTTTTTCTTTTTTTTTTTTTGTCAATTAATGGCGTAAAATTCTCTTCAATTTTTTTAAAAAAATAACATGTAAATTTCTTATAATTTAGGATGTGTTTTGTAATTAACTTTAATGGCCAATTTAGTAATTGCAAAGTTACACTCTTACACACTCCACAATCTACTTGTACTTTTGTTTGTAAATTAAGTATGTCATTTTATTTATTATATTTATTAAAAATATGATGTAAAAGAGTATAAAACAGATTGCAAATTTCACATCCCAATTAATGAAGAATGCCAGGAGGAATAAATTAAAGGGAAAATTACATATAAATGGAGTCAAAGTTCCATATTTACTTAGAAACTGAGTCAAAGTTCCATATTTCTCTAAAATGGATTGCTGAGGTGGTACATGATTTTTTACCGTTTAAAAAATGGTGGTGCCTAAAATGCCCTACCCTAACAAAAAAGTAGTACCTTCAGTTCAAAAAAATAATACCTTCAGTTCAAAAAAGTAATACCTTCGGAGAAAAAGTAGTACCTTCACGGGTGTTTAAAAAACATGGTACCTGGACGCCAAAAAGTAGTACCTTCAGTTCAAAAACGTAGTACCTTCGAAGAAAAAGTAGTACTTTCGCGGAAGGGTATTTTAGGCACCGCAATTTCTAAACAGTAAAAAACCATGTGCCACCTCAGCAATCCATTTTAGAGAAATATGAAACTTTGACTCAGCCTCTAAGTAAATATGGAACTTTAACTCCATTTATATGTAATTTTCCCTAAATTAAATACAAACCTTTTCGTACCATTAATAAAAGCGAATTGACTCATATCACAATCTCATAATTATAATTACAACTTCAATTTTAAATCTTTTGCTTGACAGTGCTTCACTAAATATTAATGATCATTCTTTAACATATTTGGATTTAAATTTTGAATCTCAATTCAAAAACAAATCGAATATATAGATTTTTTGAAAAATCCGTATTGGATTTAGATTTGTCATAAAACGATTTTGAATGAGATAGACTCGTATCAAATAATATTTATACCGCATAGATCTTATTTAAATTATATAAATTAAAATGGATCATTTGTACAATTCAGATTTAAATCCTGATATGGACCATAAAATTAAAAAGTAAATATTCACTTGAATCTGCTCCAAATTCAACCAATTTCAAGCTCAATAGACATGCCTAATATATTATTATTTGAAACTTTAAGATTACATATTAATTATTATTTAGTTGTTAAAGATTCAGATTTAAATCCTGATATGGACCATAAAATTAAAAAATGAATAGTCACTTGAATCTGCTCCAAATTCAACCCATTTCAAGCTCGAAAGACATGCTTAATATATTATTATTTGAAACTTTGGGATCAAATATTAATTATTACTTAATTGTTAAAAAAGATTAAGGTAATTGACATAACAGCTCAATCTAATACAATCATAGTTCCGGTCCGTTCATAACCCTTTTTCAATGGTCTGATACCATTACAGACCTCTATGAACCGATCGAATCGATCAGTTTACAATAATATTGGTCCGAGTCACTTATATCACGACTGCGAACGAATGCGAACCCATAATATGTAAATATTATAGTTTATGCATTCAAGTCGAGCTTGTAATATTAGCATTTTAGATATAACTCAAGCTTTCTTACATCCTCATGCTTGTAAGTTCAAGCTTCACTATAGCTCCAAAAGACGACTCCAAAACTTGGTCCGAGCTCCTCAACTGAAATTTTAATTTTGCGATTCAATCTCAGAAAACAGTTAAGGGGTAGAAGTAGACAAAGTTATAGAGATTCATTCCAGCTAGTGCTCCAAACACATGTTATGAACTGAACTCCAAATGAATTCATATGATTCACAGGAAGTCTGAACAAATAAAACTTTAACCAACTTCTACCCAAAAACAATTTAAAATAAAATCTTACCAACTAGAAACCGGACCGTGAAAAAGAAAATATACATGTAGCGTGACGGGTACATGAGACACTAGTTCAACCAGAATTTGAGCAGAAGTTTGTGATGATTGAATCTGTTGAATTTTTATGTATAAGAGAAGCCTGATAAGAGGAGGCAGGTGGCCACTAAGACAAAGGGGCGATCAAATGGTGAGATTAATTGGAATGCGGGTTGTATATGCACCAACAACGCTTCCACCCACATCTGGAAATGTTTCACAACCAGGAAGAGGCTTTACCTTGCCAGTTCGATCGACTTCAACTGGGTACTTGAGAAGGTGACCCTTCATTTCAGTAATTTCATCAGCAGCATATTGATTCCAGTTCAGCTCACTCAGCGATCTTACTCTACTCATACATTCGAGACTATCAGGTTGCTCAAAACATTCCTCTAGAAAACCAATGTGCTCTGCCCATAGTGACATTCTATACCCATAGATCTGCAATCAGATGCACACAGCAGCCAGTCACATATTTATATTCAAATCAATATAACAAATTGTCAAGACTGCTAAGACATAGTATATAAGATGCTGAAAAGCTTAAACACAAGTCAACTTTTTCAGAATGTGCCATAAGCATGACTCCGAAAACACGAGTCTTGAGTTGTGTGACTCAATATTACCCTCAAACATCGATTAATCTCAATAGTGACCACTCAAATATATCCCGCTAGGCCTCACCATAATATATTTGGTCAAATGGTGGAAAAAAGCAAATTTGTAGTTGAATTGCATGTCAATACATATTTAGACACATGCTTCCTACAAAAAGGCCTTCATATCTTTTAATCTCGACAATGCATACTGTTTTCAATGTTCATGAGAGCTAACAACATAAAAATGCAACTTTATTTGCAATTACATAGACCATGTCATGCTTTTGAACTTTTGCTAACCATCAATCCGTTTTTTTTTTTCCTAGTTGGTACTCACACACACTTGTCTCTTATGAGACTTAACCCCGGACGTCCCTTGATAACAAACGTTGAACCTGAAGTGATTTTATTTTATGATTGATACATCTAATATTGCATTCATGTGCCAGTAAAAACTCACTAATATTCAAAATAACTAAACAGAATTTCACCTGATCAAAGATTACCTGTCCATGGGGAGTAGAGCCTTTGCTCGCCCAAGTATTCCGAGGTTGATAGGCACCCATCGCAATTTCAGTGTCCCTGGTGCCTTCTAAGGAACGTTGATTGATGTTTGCAGACCCCAATATAACATACTCATCATCCACTATCATTCCTTTTGAATGGACATAAATCATGAAGCGTCGATTTTTCTTAGCAAGTTCCTGGATAGAACACACGATTAAAGATAATTGATTGGAAAATTGGGAATCATAACCATTTGGGGAGAACTGAAATGGTAGTTACAGGGGTAACAGAAATGTACTTGGGGAGTTTCTGAGGGAAAAGGATTTCCCTCATCTGTAGTGTCTGAGAAATGTACTTGGGGAGTTTCTGAGGGAATAGGACTTCCTTCATCTGAAGCGTCTTGAGCCTCACGATTGCCAAGGCAGAAGAAATTTAAATAGTCTTGAGGTTCATAATTGTTTTCAAGTCCTACCTCTCGTAAAGCCTTGTAAATTACTTCATACATCATTTGCATAGTATTATGCTGCATAAATTAACAATATCACCAGGTTCATGAAATAAGCAAAAAACCCATAAAAATTGCCATTTGTCCCAAAAGTTTTTGCAGACTTGACTTGCAACTATTCTGAATGACACATATAGCTTAAAAACTAGTTTCGATACCTTTATTATTACCTGAATTTTATTCAACCCAAAGATTGCTTGAATTATAGTGTTATATCATTTAATTCCCTTTCCCTTCCTCGAAATTGATGGTGCACTCCTTTTGATTAAAAAGAGCATTGAATTGTCTCTAATTAACCAATTTCGTCTCAACAGAATTATGGGTCATGCATATTTGATTGTTCCATTGTGTTTACATGAGCATATGGAGGTATGGGATACAAATCCATCATCTGTAAGTGTTAAGAGATTAGTTAATGATATATTAGGATTTCCCTTTGATCTGATTTTCTGGTTGATCCAATACATCATTAGCTAATCTCTTAACAATAAGGAATGGGGCCATTAGTATAGTGGGAGTCATTACCGGAATTGACATAAAATCATTTTATAGAAACATAAAATGACAGCATTTAAATCTCAACCATCACTTTTAATGATGGCTCCAATACTGATGTAGCTTAGGATCTTGTTTTACTTTTTAATTGTTTGATTAGTATTTTTATACTATATATATATATATATATATATATATTGTTTGACAAATCAATGAAGATGTATTTTTGCCTTATGATGTGTGGTGTGAACCATCAACATCATAACTTAGATGGTATATGGACACATAATACTTTAGAGTACAAGTCCCTATTGGATGTAGGGTCAAGGCACATAAATTAATCGATCTAAATGTTGCATTTTATTTTAAGTTATAGTACTTAAACAGAGGTACGCTCTCTCCATAAAAATTGTAGTAATACCTTCTAGGAGATTATCTACCAAGGCACATAAATTAATCAATCTAAATGTCGCATTTTATTCTAAGTTTTAGTACTTAAACAGCGATACTATCTCTATCTATCTATCTATACATATATATATATATATATTTCCATAAAATTTATGGTAATACCTTCTATGAGATTATCTATTTTAACACATTTGCGGATGGTTTCACCATTGTATTTTGAAAGAAGAGGGTGATCTCCATAAAAATTGTGGTAATACCTTCTAACACGTTTGCGGACAGTTTTGCCAGTGTATTTTGAAAAAAGAGGGTACAGGCCGGTTTTCTTTCTCCTTTCTTCTTATCCTTCTCTTTATTCTATTATTTGCCATTTCTTTCTTTTGCATACATGTTTCAGACTTGTACCTAATTTTTGTTTAACCAAAATATTGCTTTATTTGTGGCATTCTTTCATTTAATTTTGATAATATTGAAAATTTGATTTACAGAAATGATAGAATTAGAAATGATGACATTCAGGAAATGGTTGGAGTAGCACAAATTGGAGATAAAATGGGAGAAAATCAGTTAAAATGATTTGGACGGGTGCAAAGAAGACCTTTAAGTGCGCCGGTTAGAAAAAGTGACATAATTTACATTGAGGGTAATAGTAATACTAGGGGAAGAGGAAAAACAAAGTTAATGTCGGTAGAGTTAGTAAAGAAAGATATGATAGCATGTGAATTGACTGAAGCTAATGCCTTACATAGAGCGGAATGGAAACATGGGATTCATGTAGCCGACCAAAAGTAATTGGGAAAAAGGCTTGGTCGTTGTTGAACTCATTGGTGGTGGTGGTGAAATTTCTATGTACAGTTATGTGCTACCTTGAGTTGATTGTTAAGAATTTCATGTTTAAATGAATATTTACTATTTTGGCTTGCCAACAATTCAGCACTACTCCGTTGCAAAGTTAGTTTTATCTCTATCAAAGCATTGTGTGTGGGTAATTGTGTGTTCGTCTAGGAATTAACTGCTCAATTCACCTGCATAAAAATTCTCCAAGAAGGGTTAAGAAAACCTATACAAATCCGTGGTTGCATAAAAAATTCTCTGGTGACCTCATTCTCGATGATTACAAAAATGATATGTGAAAGATGATGGGGAAATTCAATTTTCTGGGGAATTCTAAATACTCCTTTAGCCATGCTTATGGGGATGATTAAACATAAACATTTGCAAAATCCTAAATTATTACAACATAAGAACTTGAGTTACATCTTTTTAAGATTAATTAATTATATAACTCTGTCATTATAACTGTGTAATTTGTTTTCACATAAAGCAATCTAAAAGGTAGTTAAAGTTTACCTGCCAAAAGAGAATTTGTTGAGTAACAAGACTTGTAGGAACACCCTCTGGCCACATTGGGATGACAATATATGCTGAAAACCTCTCATTTGCTCTAATTTTGTTAGCAATTTTGAGAGCAATTTCCATTGGAATTAAATTGTTTGCACCTGCATATTCAAACAAGTATTATAATCATCAATCAGATACACAGACTTCGAGAGAGAAAAACTTAGATTTTTAGGTCAGAACATGTAAAAAGAGGACAGGAAGGAGTTCCTCACCTAAGTCTTTGTAATCAGTCCAGTTATATGATGACCCAATGAAGTATTGGTTTTCAATATAAATGAAATGTTGGGCAGCACGAATTGCCTTTACATATGCTGTATGTATACTCATGTCTATCAGTACATTCTTCCCACATACTAGGTTCTGTTACAAATAAACAATGCACAGAGATATTAGCTAATTAACCATCTCATAGACAAAAACAATTTTACAAGCATAAAGAAAGTGGTAATAATAATTTTTTTTTTATTTACAAAAAACTAAAACTAAAAATGTTTTGCTCACCTTGTTTGTTGCCTCTTTTGGGTCTTCTGGAAGGCCCTTAACAGAGTTGGAATCAATTGAACGAAAAACCTATCATTGTGAGGAAATTAGTCAAGAAAAAATAGAGTAATAAAAGTAAGACGAGTATTGAATTAGAACATCTACTATAATAGATTTTTAAAAACTAACATACCTGGACATGCCAAGCCTCAGGATCATCCTCTCCCAGGAAGGGCACATCAGCCATTCCTATGATATCAGAAATTTTATCAATTCTAAGTAATGAATCATCATATGATACTTTCATTTTATTTATTCCATGAGGTTCTGAAGCCCTGAACCAACGTTCCTCAAAGTTGGTGAGGATATCATATGCTGCTGGACCATCAATTCGGCAGTGTAAATCATGCCACGCTTCTCTGGGACATCCAACAGCAGGCCCCTGTTCAAGTAGCAACACAAGTTTGACGAAAAGAAAAATGAACGAAAAATACTTTAATGCTCTTGGAATATCGATGAAATTGTATCACCGATTAAATGTTGACATGTAGTGACAGAACTCACCGAAATAAATGTGTTTTTACTTCTATGACAAAATATAATTGGTTTATGACATCGGTAATATGGTATCACTATCACTGGTGCATTGAAGTCTTTTTTGGAGTAAACGAATATTTTCACATCTACTGAATTGTCCTTTTTTTTTTTTTTTACACCCAGTTTTGCTCCTATGGAGACTTGAACCCTCAACCTTTTGAAAGGTAGGAAGGTGAGGAAGTACCATTAGGTTACAACCCTTGGTTACCAAAGTGGTTGAGGCATAAGATTTCATGTAGTTCTTTCTTGACTTTTTCGTATGCCAAAAACATTGGTAAACACCCAGCTTCCTTTAATCTCATGTGCAAAGGCTTAAATTACTGAATCTTTCAACTGCAGTCTCACAGGCACAGCGCATTAAAATACAATCAAATAGTACGTCTTTGTTATCAACGTAGATTTGATTCATAAAATTCTATGTGCTTGGTTTCATGCACGTGACAATCGAAACTCATATAAAATATAAAACCAACTATTTCTAACAAGTTATAATTAAAACAACATAACTAATTTTTTATTATATCATGTGCCATGAACCTCCCGCTCGCTTCTTATGTTTACTACGTCTTTGTTATCAACTTATATCGACCACTTAATTATCAAGATTGTTTGCTAAGTGATTGACCAGTAGTATATCGTTTCAAGTGTTGCCGGAATCAGAAATATTTTGGAGTATATATCATCAGTCCATTTCAAATGAAAATTATTTGCTTTATTTTTATGTGGAAGTTTGCACAGACATGTCTTGGATATGTTGTGTAATGTTTCCGATTTTTATCATTTTCCATTTTCTGGAATTTTCTGATTTTTCAAGGGTATTTTTGTCTTTTCTCGTTTTGCGTGCCGGATGTGTTCAGAGTGTTGGTTGGAGCATTTCCTTGAGTTCAAGACTCTTGGAAATGCATTGGTTGCCATTTCGGCATTTTTTTGTTTTTCGGGCAGGGAGGTCCCAGGTGGAACCTGCTACCGGAATTGTTGAGCACGGAGATTATTTTTTTTTCGGGTTCATTGCATTTCATACATCATTATTTTGTGCTCATTTACTTGGTGACATATTTAAATTAGTGGTTGTATTATGTTTAATGTAGATATATGTATATGTATTAATGGTAAAGAGTGATATTTTAATGTGGGACCCACTAGTTATTTCTTTAGCCACATATAATGACCATAAGTCATCAGATGGATCATTTTTCATCTCACCCACGCAGAAACTCTCTCACTCGTCCCAGCAGTTCTCTTTTTTTCTTTTTCTTTTTTTTTTTCTTTTTTTTTTTTTCCAACCATTAAGCTTAGATATCTCTTTATCCTTTGAGATTTCAACTTTGCCATAGAAAGCAAAGTTGACGAGCGTAGCGAGGGTTTCATATTGATCGGAGCAAAGCACCATTTGGAGCAACTTTGGATTTTGAATTTTGGGAGAATTTGGGCTGATTTGGGTTTTTCTTTAAATTGTGAGGTAAGGGTCTCTCTAACGCATCAAGTTTTGCCCTTTTATTGAGCAAATTATATTTCTTTTTAATTATATTTTGAGAACTGTAAACTTTGGTATGAAATTGTTATTCTATGACTAGGCTTAAGTGTTAAATGTGACTTGTTGCATATATATATATATATATATATATATATAGATTGTGGCAAAAGGCTTGTATGATTATGTTTATTTGGAGATTATGTTGATGAACAAATGATAATATGACAGTGGTGTGGATGATTATATGTTGAACATGTTGATATGTGGTTCTTGTAAGAAATTGTTTTGCTTAAATTAATTTAGTGGATAATATTATTGTTGTATTGAATTCTAAAAATATGCCATGATCCTAGATTCCTAATTGACTTTTATGGAATGTCTTGTTATATTTGCTGAAATGGAAATGTCATGTTAAAGTTTTCATTATTAAATTGATGAGCTTGATAGTTGAGAATATGAAAAGCATTGCATTGCATGTCATGGCATGAAAAGAGGATTTTGAAGAGAATTTGGGAGAAAAAAGGAAATTTTACAAAAGGAAAGTTTTATTTGAAAAGGGAAGTTTTTTTTTTAAAAAAAATGAAATGGATTTCGCAAGTCCAGGGCTAGCTTAACCTAGAGGGAGCGCAGTCCGTTGTAGGGCGTGAAAAAGTTGATACTAGGCCCTTTAACGGTTGCCGGATTTGGAACTAGGGATAACTATCAATCTCACCTTGGTAAAGTCAATTAGTGGGTTTTCAAAAGTGAAAGTTGGGTCGGTATAGACCAGATATGGGATGGGTGCATCACATTTCATATCATGCACATCATTTTGTAAAATTGTGTTATGTGTTAAGATTGTTGCCTATTAAGTGGTAAATGTTGTACAGACTTCCATTGTATGACCCCGGTTTCTTTTCTACCCCTTTTTATGTTACGTGGCTTAAAGGAGTCCAAAACTGACGTCTTAGGCGACTTCTACTAAGCCTTGTGCTCACCCCTTATTTTTTTAACATTTTTTAGGACACAGGAAGGAAGTGGCGGACGACGTTCCACCACAAGCTTAGTTTGAATTAGAAGACCATTTTGTTAGTTTTTTTTTTTTGCAAAGTTTTACGTTGTAATGATATAATTATGCTCTGTATAACTTTGTGTTTTGGAACCTTGTAATTATAATGATGAGCATGGAGTAACTTTTGTAAAATGTCTCAGCATATGTTAGGACTCTTGACCATGTTTTTGGGACTGTAATTATGATGCATTTGGATTAGATGGTAGGTGGCTGTTGCACCATGAAATGAACTATGTTGAGGTATAATGAATGGATGAATGGAATGTTGGAATGTGTTATATTGCAGTGCTTTGGGACAAGGTAGATAAATTTTCAGGCCATAAGTGAGGCCATTCATTTCATATGCATTAAGCAAGTTGTAGAAGGACTCCTTTCTGCAGAGGTCATGCCGAATTTTTGGGTCGTTACATGTTGCTCCACTAAGTTATCCCATAATTTGGTAAGTTCTCACATTAAAGGGTAGAAGTTCTATCTCTTCCTCTTCTAGAAAATATTTTATAAATTATACGAAGAAGCATGACACTTCAACGAAGGTGGGTTGGACATTGACACTTCAAAGACACTCCTAAACATGTGTCCAATGCTGCATGAACGTGCCCATAATTTAAAAATAAGTTTTATTATGTCGAACACTTAGTTGACACTTCCCAGCCACACTCAACACAAGTCTAATATAACACAAACACATGAAGAGCAACCAAATCCGACAATTCTAAAACAATATGAATACACCTTAAAATGTCCAACCTTTTTCTCTTTAAGAAAAATTAACATTATACAGATGGTTACCACAAGAATGCAATGAAAATTTTTCATAGAGGACAAAATATAATTGTAATGACAAAGTAGAAGATTAGTTGCACATAATATAATATTCTTTTACATGCATAGCTTTATTTTCTAAATTATGTAACTTTCTACATAGAAATTCAAATATATATATATATATATATATATATATATATATTTGAATTTCTATAACTGTGTAGGGATAAATAAAAAAAATTAAATTTATACATAGTCGTATGCCAGTATCCTACTTTTTAGGAATTAATGTGTCTAGCATATCCGTGTTATCTTGTGTCCATGTTGCATGTCCATGTTTGTGTTATTTAGGCCACTTTAAGTCTTACAAATATAGAAAGTAGCATTTCAGTGTGCTTCTCTAACATATTTGATTTCCTTAATGTGTTGTACGATATTCTGAAATCAATGTTATTGCCACTAATTAATATTGGGAATATTCTAGATGTGGCCAGACTGACCAGTATGGTTTATTAACCATGCTGACAATTAGTAATTAAGTAACATACTGCAGACACAATTGCATGTAGTGCACTCGTCTTCCATTTTTACACTGTACATGTGCCTAATGTCACACCCCGCTACCAAGAGGCTATGCCACGCAGGCGCCACGCAGACGCCCAGCAGACGATGACATGGAGCCTGCATGGACTAGAGCTTTCTAGACTTCCCTACACAAGTATGGAACTTTCTGGAATTCTCTAGATTAGTGTGGAGTTGTCAAGCCTTTTCTAGACTTGTCTAGAGTTGTATAGAATTCTCTAGAACTCTCTAGACTTGTCTTGTACATAGTAGATAGTTCTAGAGTTGTGTATATATTTCTGGAGGATTCTAGACACTAAATCTAGGCCACACATTTGTACACATCTAGAATGTTCTTGTAAGGCCAAAGGCCTATAAATAGGAGGTGAGAGTTCATTTGCTCCTCACCAAGCAACCAAGTTGTAATCTCTCCTCTCAAGCAATACAAGTTCTATACATTTCCAAACTCTCTTGCTCACTTGCCTAACCTCTTCCTGCACACCCAAGTAAGCCAAACACTTGTCTAGCTTTAGTCTTCACTAAGCTAGCACACTCGATAGGCTAACTTAGCGCTTCAAGGGGGCTTGAAAGTGTCTAAGGCCGCACGGTAGCTTGAAAAGGTTCAAGTCCGTGACACTAAGATCACTATTCTCAAAAGGCACTAGTCCGATATCAGTTAGGCAACGGGTATCAAAAAGTTATGTGCTAACTACCAGTTCTTTTAGGTTTTCATGGAGATACTCATTGCCCCCGCTCCAACGCACTTCAAATAGTATTACTACCACTAAGCTTGAGTTGGGCTGTCTAATTGTAATAGTTCTAATGACCCATCTCAGGCCTTTTCATTTACATTGTACATGATTATTCTTTATAATATTGCTTGAAAATCCACCAAAAAAAAAAAAGGTGGGGTTCTATTAAGTTAAACAGACCACAGACGTTGATATTAAATATTATGATGAAAACCAGTCCCACTTTTCCCCTAGGGTGCTTGAACCTTCAATCTCCTACTTTTAAAGGTGAGGAAGTACCACTAGGTTACAGCCATTTGTATTGACTATTTTTCAAAAAGCAATAATTATGCAACTAATATTATAGGCAATTATCAGGTAAGCAGAATGTAAATTTTCAAATATTTGCAAATCATTTGTACATACCACAGGGAGTATGTCCTCTGCGGGTCTCATAATTAGCATAATCATGCAATATACTGATGAAGCTTATTAGATACATCAGAACTAGAAAAAAAGAGAAGAATAACAATACCAACCAAAAAAAAAAAAAAGAAGAAGAGGAGAGAGAGAGAGAGAGAAATCGAAGAAAACTCAACAGTGGCAAAGAATTAATGTTGATAAAATGATTACCGTGAAATTAGGATTATGGCACTCATCTTTGTGCACAGTTTGTAATGTGCTTAAAATAGGGTGTTTTGGAGTATCATATCGACCCATGCATAGATCGAGACCCCCAACAAATGCGATGATCTTTCTCTTGCCATGACCTGCATCAGCATCGACAATCACAGTTTTCTGATGATGGCTGTAGATCGTTCCTACTACCTGATATCCAAAAAACGACTGGAAAGGCTCATAGCAGATACTAAATCTGGAAAAGTTATACCATCAAGGAATGTAAAGCTTTAGGGAAAACAAGATTAGTGCAGCTAACACGCTACCAATGTCCAAACAAGTTTTGTTTTAGTAAATTCCAAATTTTTATTCAATCTGGCATCTCTGTAACCAACTGTAAATCATGCAATTAAATGAAGTATAGCTCTCTTCACTACTGCAAATTGAAAAAGGAACCGCAAAACAGCATACAATAAGATGAGTCAAACTCTGCGCACTAAAACAGCTTATGGTAAGACATCAAATTAGTTTAACTAAACTTCACTCAACATAGATAAGACATTTGTTCTTTTTACCTGCTTTCTGCGAATGCTATGTCCATTTCCAGCAGATCGGGGGCAAAGTAGCACTTTCACTAAAGACTGTTTGAAAAAACGACGGGTCTCCTCATCATGGGTGTCCATATACCCAACCTACATATTTTAAAGTGATAAATACCAATAAAAAACTTGGTACCTAATTAAAGATTGAGCAACATAGAAGTACGTAGAAAGTTGATGCAGAAATGACATTTAAGGAATAGGGCTCCCCAACAAGTATAAATTAAAGTTAACAAAACTAAGAAAGCATTAAAAATGAAACACCACAATATATAGACAGCATTGTAAAGCCTCAAAGGGCAATTACCAAGTCTTCTTTCGGTTAAAATGGGGAGCTGAGAGCTGGGGTGGACTGCCTGAACTGGCTAGCCTCAGAGCTCAGACCCAAATCCAATATTCACGGTCAACACTTCCCTTATTATTATTTTGGTAGCCTGGTAGAAAGAGAGACTTTTGACAGTCCAATTAGATTCTAAAGCCTATCTCTAAGTTTTCATTACATCAAACATTTGCTTTAAAGACAAAGTCTGTAACCCCATTGTTGGGGGCCACAAATTCAACTTATTCAGGTATGAGTTCTAAATATTGAGTCATTCCTTTGTCTAAATTTACAATTTAATAACAATGGTGGTCAAATTTTGAATGAAAGATTATTGAAGGATGAAAATTCAGCAGACAGCCATAAAAAGCAGCAAGAAAGAGAACACGCCATCTATTTCAAAATATACTGCTAATATTACTAAACAGATGTATAACCCAGAATACACTACTAATTTACCAAACAAATGTGTAAATTGTGAATAAAAAAATTAAACCAATAGTTTCTTACCTTTTTGTAACCCAAAATATTCATAGAAGTAGGATCAGACCATAAAAGGAGCAGCACTTTCACACCTTCCTTTGATTTGGTTTCAAGAAGGTCTCCTAAATTGCAATCTATTGTAGTGTCATTACCCTGGACAAGTCTAACTTTATGGTTCACAGACCAGCCTGTGATGTATATCAAATGGCGGGCCTGACTTATTGCATCAGAGATGTCGCGCCAACAATCACCATGCTCGTACTGAATGCCATGTTCAAGCTTCAAATTCGGAAGGCAATTACCATCAGGGACATGGGCATCTTGATAAAGTGTAACCGTTCCACCTCTCCTAAGCGGGAAATAGGCATCTGGCACTTCATGATATGTAGGACCTGAACTCACCCCAACATGGTCCAATGCCACTTTATCAATTGGAGTGTATTTGATTGATACAGTTAAGACAGATTCAGGGTCACATGGCCTCCCACTCCAATTATAAATTGGGAAGCTACCTTCAACTTTTGTGCCTGAAATTATTTGCTCCACCGGAACCCCAACAGCGCCAATCATTAAACAACCCAAAGGCATTTTGTTTTTAAGAACGAAGTGCACTTCTGCAGCATAATGCGCAACAGGAAGACAGAAGTGCTGCATCCAAGCCGGGTTCTTATTGTCACTGATGACAAAAGTTCTCCCAATAACAGCATCTGATACTGAAATTTTAACATATGGATCAGTTGTTATGACATATTTTTCAACAAGGCCGATTAATCGGGAAAACATCCTCCCCCATTTCACGTGAGACATGTCACCTTTAGGAAGGTTCTTAGCCCCCTCGACCCATATATCTAAATTCCCATGTAATAGTAAAACATTCAGAGACCCGTTCGAGGTCTGAAATGGCACATGCTGTACACTTTGAGCGTTCTGCGAGCTTTGGGATGAGAATTGAGCCATAACAGAACACACAATACTCCTCAACACTTGTTGAATTTTGTAAACACACTTATGTGTGAAACTATATCAAACAAGTAGAAAGCAACCAAGAGATTGCTCAGAAAATAACCATAATAGATTTCAAATCAAACTATGAAAGATACCCAGTTTCTGTAGACACTGGATTGAGTTTGGGTAGCTCGTAGGAGGCTGACAAATGATCGAATAGCTGGTGGGTGTACAAGACGACCCAACTGAGTAAGCTAAATTGATAACAATTCTCTAGGATGTCAATGGGTATAATTTTATCTGATAGGTTTGAATAAATAAAAGAATTTGGGAATGGAAAAATTAGAAAATGCGGGAATAAAGAATGAAGATTCCTAATGAGGAGGGAGATGAATGTGAATGATAATGAATTGAAAATTTTCCATTCATAGAGAACCAAAGTCGAACAGTTCATTTTTGTTGTCTATTAACTACAGAGAGACCTTGGCAAGTCGTCGATGAGAGAGAGAGACCTGTCAATTCGTCTCTCGTCGACCTGTTTGAAATATGGTGTATATAAACCGAGGAGAGTCTTTTTAAAATGCCATTCAACCCTGTTTCTGTTGTCGTTTTGATCTGTTTGAAGTTTGAATGGATTAGTTAATACAGAGTTTCTGAATAAAAAATTATGGATTAGGTAATACCTTTCCACTTCACTTTACACGTTAGAATATCAATTTTCTAGCATCTAAAAAAATGGATTAGGTGACCTGTACCTTCCTTCCACTTGGCTTTACACGTTAGAATATCAATTTGCCAGCATTTACTAAGAACAAACAACAAATATCTAATTTTAAACTCTAAATTAGTTGTTGGCATGTGAATAAAGTCCTCTTATAGTTATTTGTTTATTTTAATTAATTTTATTGATGAGAAAAAAGAGAATTTTCTTGCTCCAATTGTTTCCTCCAATTTTAATTTTAAAGCTTTTGGAACATAACATAAATACACCTAATATTTCACAATTTCTATTTCAAATTTTAATAAACACAGTGTTGTGAATATTGTTAAATATTTTAATGATACGGACTAAATTAAGGATTTCCTTCATCTGAAGTGTCTTCCCTGTCTTGAGCCTCACGATTGCCAAGGCAGAAGAAATTCAAATAGTCTTGAGGTTCATATTTGTTTTCAAGCCCTACCTCTTGTAAAGCTGTGTAAATTACTTCATACATCATTTGCATTGTATTATGCTGCATAAAAAATTAACAATATCAGCAGGTTCATAAAATGCTGCAAAAAAACCCATAAAAATTGCCATATTGTCATGAAAGTATTTGCACAGAGACTTGAATTGAGACTATTTTGAAGGACACAAATATAACTTTAAAACTAGTTTAGATACATTTATATTGTACCTGACTCTTTCAACCCCAAAAGTGCCTGAATTATTGTGTTCTTTCATTTTTTAAAATTTTGAAATTTTATGTTGAGTATGAGCTGGCTCTGGAGCCGATTGTGAAGAGATTCAAGTACATAAAAATTAATAATTAAATATTTCACTCATAATACCAAAGGTTTTGTGTCTTGGTATCTTCTCTTTCTTTCAAAATAGATGGTGATGGTTCGACTTTCTAAAGGAGAAAGTGGTTGTGTGATGGTGTGTATGAATTTCTTGCCAATAATAATAATAATAAAAAAAAACTCTCATAATACCAACCAACCGTTAGATATCGAAAATATTAACATTTTAAAATTATTCGGGGTTGGGTTACTTGAGAGTCCAGATCTGATCTGATATAGGTATCGTAAAATAGTTCCCAAAAGAGTTGAATATAGTTGTCACATGCTAGCACAATCATTTAGCTATAAGTCATATGAAGAGGCATAAATGCAGAGTCATGGTTTGGGCATGACTTATAGCGGCCAAACAAAGATTGGAGTCTCTTTGAAAAGCCGTTAAATTTGAATATTGCTGGATTGGACGTTGAACAGTTGCTCCTAATATGAATCCGCTCCTAGATTGATTCGTGAATTTTGAGTCTCTGTCAAATTGCTGAATATATTGAACCAAAACATCAATTGTACATTCCAATTTATTAGCTGATATTATTTCTCTCTAAATTCCTAAATTTGTGGCTGATTTTGCATTTCAAAATTACTTAAGCTTGCTCGCAGCCAAAATGATGAAAGCGAAAGATTAAAGTGAGACAGTAAACAAACCTAACTACTGAATATTATTTTGTTCAAAATGGCAAACAATAACGGTGGTGGTGTGAACACCCAAAGTAGAACTTCAATTTTTTTCAATTGAGTACAGAAAGCAGTGAAGAAGGCCTAGTATTAGACATGGTGATAGAATTAAACACGTTATGAATTTATACTGAATTCCAAATACGACAAAAGTCACCTTCAAAATGAATTCATTATTCATTGCAAGTCTAAACCAAATAAAACTATATAACCAAACCTTTTACTCAAACATAATAATAATAATAATAATAATAATAATAATAATAATAAAATCTTATCAACTAGAAACTGTTAAAATCTTATCAACTAGAAACTGTTGGGATTTATATTCCCTGGCATAGCAAATTCTTATTTGGATTATAGTGACATATGTTCTTGACGTTTCTGAAATATTTATACTTTATACAATTGGTGAATTCAATGTATTATGTTTCGATTCATTATAGAATTGATAGTGTCCACTTGATTACAAGAGATATTTATATATGTATGTGATGGCGATCAATACATGAATATAAATAGTAATCATAAATTATTCATAGTTGGTAATTATGGATGGACTCATAATTAATTAAGACTTGAACTGGATCCGCGTTAGGTTGAGATATATTGCGAGAGCCGTCGTATACAATTGCTCCCTATCATCGTCATGGCATTTGACTCTTAAGCATTAAAAAAATATAAACTCTTTTATTAATTAATAATTACTTTGATTTATTCGGCGGATACTTTGAGATCCTTAGGCCGACACTTTGGGTAGTTATGTAATTAATAGTTTGAGGGTTATATTTTCAATATTTGCATCATTGCTCATTGCATTTACTTTGTATTGATTATGGTTAATCACAAAGTAAATTCGAAGGCCTTCGTGTGCTTTTAGACAAAATGATTTATTATATATTTATTTATTTAAATTGTTATTTTTATCAAACAAATGTTTTATTGTGATCGAGCCAGATATAATCAATGGTACCAAAATAAATATATTAATTAAGTAGTCGGATTGATAGTTTTATTTATCCGATAACTAATTATGCATAGAGTAGTCAAAGTGTAACATTGACTTAGAGGTTATTTATTATTTAATTGGAGTTCAATTAATTTCTTTTAGTGGAGTAGAAATTAATTTATGAATTAATTGAATTGGGTCCATGGACCGGGCCAATTATTAATTCATTGTAGCCAATAAAATAATAAGCTCAAAGGATTCTCACTCATAACCCAACTTAATATTGGAATCCTATTAGATTTGAGACATGTGAATTAGAGATTGAAAATGATTTATTGTTTCTTTTTCTTTATCTTTATGTTGCCTATATATATACATGATCTATGTATATTTTAGGGTGATTTTTGGAAGAATGAAAAATGAATATATTTTCTCTCTCTAAAAAATTAGGGTTACTGTTCTCATCTAATGGAGGCTCCCACAAGCCTAGTTTTCCAAGGTCATTCATGGAGGCTTATGAGTGATTCCTAAAGACAAAACAATTACCAAGAAGATGGAGATCCAAGGAGAAGACATCTTGCTAAGGGATCTATAATAAGTGAGAACATTCACTTTAGAGGAAAGATTTAAAGGTTTACTCAGACCTTTGATGTAAGTATTCAATCTGTTAATTGAATGATACATCATGTTTTATTTTTGCATAAAACTTGTCTCTATGTGATGAATCAAGATATGTGAATAAAAATCCCTCGAAAAGTTTTTAAAACTAGCACGCTTCCTAACAGTGGTATCAGAGCATGATTTGATTTATTACTAGAGATCATGTTTTAATCAAAATTCATCATTCATGGATCCAATTTTGATATGCATATATTTATTTATTGATGTATGGTGATGTATGAATTAATATATTGATATATATTGATACATGATGATGTATGTATAATTGTGAATGGATGATGATGTGTGTTTGAACCATGGATGAAGCTTATAGGTTATTGAATGTAATTTTATCTTTAGATTAATTAAGGCTTTGGTTTAGCCGTTTGAAAGTTCAATGATGTAATTTAATTTTTTTCCATTGTATTTCAAATTGTAAATTTATTTAAAGCCATGTAATCTTCATCAAAGGATGCTATGAAGCTTCAAGAAGGTCCAAAAGCGTTAAATTAGGCTTCAGGAATTTTCTGGGATTTTTTAGAAATTTTTCAGAATTTTTCTGGAATTTTTAGGGCCTAAATAATATTTTCTGGGAATTTTTATTAATTTTCTGGAATTTATCGACAATTTTCCGGTAACCGGAGTGTCGCCGGCGGCGAGGGCAGTGCCAAAAAGGAGGTCGGTTGATCCCATGCTTTGCGGTACACCATATAATGGTGCAATCGGAATATTAGCCACACGATGGAGATCCAGATCAGGTGCAGCGCAGCAGAGAAACACTCCGGCGCATGCGCCGGAGCACGCGCAGGACCTTAGTACCTTACTGGCGCGTGTTCTGGCAAGGTTTCTATTTCCAAGCGCGTGTGCACGCCCGTCCACACGTGTGCCACCCGCGGCAGTGCCTTCTAGGCGCGTGGCAGCGCATGGAGGTGCGTGGGGGCGCGTGCCACGGGCCACTTGATCACCCCAGCGCGTGTCAGCGCGTGTGGTGTCCCCGGGTGAGTTCTAAGCGTCGTTTTGCTTCTCCTATCGCGTATAAGCTCTTTACAAGTGTTTACAAGCCGTTGGTGGACGCCCGTACAACAAGAATAACATTTAAATGTTAAAAGTTAAATCCATTAGCCATTTTATTTATTTTATCTGTCATTTATTTATTTATGTGATGTATGAAATGCATAGAATAGATAATCGTTAATTATTATTTATGCATTGGATCTATGATATTTATTTAAATGACTTGATTTATATTAATTAAATTATGAAAATTAATTAGATTAAAAAACTAATAATTTGAAGGCATATCATGGGAAACAAAAAAAAAAATTTGTAAATTATTTTTAAAAGTGTGTCTCAAATTAAATATTAGTGAATCATTTAAAAGTCCAAATTTTTTCTAAATTTAATTGGATTAAAATCAAGGCGTTTTGCATGCATTATATCATGTAAATGAATAACTTGAAAACACTAATTATGAATGATTAAAAATTGAGTGGGAGCGGGGATTTTTATACATTACCACATGGCCTTCGTTATTAAAACCATTGTAATTAGATCTTCAAAAATAAGGCCCCACGCATGATTTGAATAGTCTTAATATTACAAAAATGATTGTCTCATGAAAATAAAAATATTAAATGTTCATTGTAATTAGATCTTTAAAAATAAGGCCCTGCGTATGATTTAAAGAGTCTAGATTATAATGACAAGATATTTAATATTTTATTTTTTATTAGAGCTTTAATAACGTTATACACTCAATCTAAAATCAATAGTGTTAGCTCCCCAACGGAGTGGTCTACACTAGGTGATTTTAGAAAGGCTAAACAAAATCGGGAATCATTTCATATGATAAACAA